TCTTATAATGATTTTTAAAATTGAAAAAAAAAAAAAGGCAAGGTTGGGGCCCACCCTGGGTCCGCCAGTGACTACAACTTTATTAACTTCTAGCTAATAGTATACTTTTTGCCAAATTTAAGTACGAGAATTATTTTAGCAATTTAGAAACTGTTTATGATAATACTTGAGAACATATGGCTCGTTGTACGCCACAAGCATTTCCATCACCTTTCCAATTCATTGCCACTCGGCACCCCGAGTTTTTATTTTATTTTTTGTAAGTTACCAAATGATGTTTGATCACTTTTTCGAGCTCGTAGGCTCATGAACTTTAAGCTCGTGGATCATGCCACAAGCCATGACAAATCCCAACGAGCTGAGCCGTGCTCGGGCCACCGATGCGTAGAGCTTTGACGAGTCGATCTGACGAGTTACTCGACCATTTTGTCACCTCTAAGCATATCTATATCTGGAGGTGAGAAACTGAGAATTTTGGAATTTGAAATTACAATTAGATCGATCTATTTAATAATAGGAAAAACATACTCTCGAGATATATATCAGTTGCTGCATTTGATACCATATAAGCAAAAAGAATTGGTAATCTTGGTATTGGTCGATTTGTAAAGAATTGGTATAAGAGAATGCTATACACTTGGTATTGATCCTTTGATATGACTCATAAGCAACTAGATTACAAGATATCAGCTAAGTACAAAATAATGACAATATGAGATGATTAATCATCATTAAAAAATAATCTTCATATCAGTTAGTTATTTGATTTATTACTAATGTACCGACAAGATGGTGGTATCATGGAAACACCAATCTTGGATCGAAGTTGATGAAGTCGAGCTTGAGATAGTAGTTTGGTTAGAGCATTAGAGAGTTGATATTGTAGTGGAGACGTGGAAAACTCGGAGGGTGCCAGATCAAACATGATTGAGAACGGAGTGGATGTCAGATCTCTCTCTCTCTCTGTTCCATTTTTCAGTGAAAAAGGGACTTTCATTTTTGAGTGGAAGACTGGCACATAAGTAGGTGGCTCCAACATCTTCACAATAAATAATGAATTAAGATGAATGCCAAGTTCACTAAGCACAGATTTGATCCATATACCTTTCAAAGCGATACCGGCAACGAAAAGATAATCGGCTTCAACGGTTGAGCAGGCTACTGTCGTTTTTTACAGGAACTCCAAGCAATCGAGTTGTGCCTTGATGTTACTTGCCCAGTCAGTATCAGAGAAGGTACAAACTGAACCAAACCAAGACAGTTCTGATTTGGTTCGGTTAGTTCAGGTCCATCCACCCCTAACTAGGGTACAAGAGATCGACTAAATACAAGATAACGACAAGATATCAACTGAAGTTCAAGTTAATGAAAATGTAAGATAATTACAAATTACTTATAAATGATCTTCATATCGACTTGTTATTTGATTAATCTCTGATGATATACACCTGGAAAGGAGTTAACAAACTTACAACAATAGAATTTCGTTATTTGATTAATCTCTAATACCACCTGGCAAGGGGTCCAAACACAAAAACAGAATTTAACAAGATGCACAGCTAATTTTACTGCTATCCCGGGCCACTAATAGCACACTTCAACACAAAATGCAAATTCAAAGACCGTTTTTTCTGTTATAGATATAAGATTTTGCAAAGTACAAGTAGGCAACGAATGCAACAGCGCTAATCCCAGCCAGTAGCCAATAGAAGTAGTCAATATGAGCCCGATTAAGGTTGTCCGAAAACCAACTATCTCGATCCGGGCCACTGGTAGCTTTCTCCACCACAGAGATAAGAAAACTGCTCAAAAAGCTCCCTATGCCAAATATACTAAGGTATAGAGCAAGACCGATACTTTTCAGTTCTCTAGGAACCTGGTCATAGAAGAATTCTTGGAGACCGACCATAGTAAATACATCTGAAACTCCGAAAAGCAAGTACTGTGGTAGTAGCCACCACACACTCATTGGCACTGTTGCTTTAGGCATGTCCACCAGTCCATATTCAACAGCAATTTTCAGACGTTTCATCTCGACCAAAGCTGCAATTATCATGGAAAGAAAAGATAAAAGTATTCCAGTTCCGATACGTTGGAGCATTGTTATTCCCGAGGGTTTCCTAGTTATAGTCCTTGCAATAGGAACCAAAATACGGTCATAAATAGGAATAAAGACAACAATTGCAAGACTGATAAAAGATTGAAGTGAAGCAGCTGGTATTTGAAAACTAGATGTGATAGAACGATCCATTGTAACGCCTTGCTTGGTGAATAAGGTTGATGATTGTGAAAATACAATGGCATATCCCAAACATGTAATCCATATTGGAATAAGCCTGAGAACTGCTTTTGCCTCTTCAATTTCATTGATACTACAAACTTTCCCAACATCCTTTGAACCATCAGGTGCTAGCAATGCTTTATTAAGAAGTCTGTTACAACCAAAAATGTAATAACGAAATGAAATTTGATTGATTCCATTACGTCAATCTTATAAAAACAAAGATTTCGAGTAAAAGGATATCAACGTGTTTCTTTCCATGTTCTACACTAGAAGGTCGATATGAAGGGGGGAAGGATTCAACTTTCAAGTACCCAACCCCAAATTTAATGAAACAAGGCTTAGCTTGTTGAACTGTTTCTAGATTAGTAGGCCAAATGTCTACTTACGATGTGAAAATTTATCAATTAATGCTTCTCGTAAAGAAACAATAGCAGATAAACACGTGGGTTGCGGTAATAGGCTGTCAAAACCTATTGACAGGGCACCTAGGAAGACTAATCAAATAGAAACTTAAGAGGTTTGAAAGCAAAGTCGAGAGGTATTTTTTCTTCCAAATCACAAAATACGCACAAGGATAAATGGCTTACTTGAACTGTTGAGAGCCTTCATATGGCAGAATATGCTGAGCTTCCTCTTCCTTAGATATTGCTGCCGGGGTAGTCCGCCAGTTTCTAGCCGCATTCAGGAATACCCGGCCAATTCTCACAAACGGGCTTCTTTCACCGCACTGTATGCTAAACCGGTAAGTCGTAGTTCCAAGCAAAAATATTATTAGTGCAAGGCACATGATAATGCAGGGGATTCCAAAGCCAAGACCCCAATTTAGGTTGTCTTGAATGTAGTTCAAAACAAAGAGAGCCACTACAACACCTGCACACATGGAAAAATACCACCAATTGAAGAATGAGCTTTTGGATTCACATTCTTTTGGGTCTTTCTCATCAAACTGGTCAGCTCCAAAAGCTTGAACACAAGGTTTATGCCCTCCTTGTGCTAATGCAACTAAATACAAAGACAAGAAGAAGATAATAATTTGAAACTCTGGTGGAGAACATGCTGTCTGGCAGTCGGAAGATTTGAATGAATAGAGAGCAGCAGATAGGGACAAGAAGCCAAGTCCCTGAGATCAATAACAATAATAACATAACATGGCTAAAATTTCGCAGAAGAATAGCATTCTCAAGAATATTTGTATCATGAACTCTTTATAAAAATTAGAGGTGTCTAATGAACAGAATGGCAGAGTTATAATTTCAGCTTCTTGTTATCAAAATTGTTGAAACTTTGAGTTCACTCTTCATCATATGTGCAAAACTAGTGCATACAGCCCTAAACAACTCTTGTAATGCTTCAATACATTTTAAATATTGATGTGTACTGTATTCAAATATTGCCACAGGCCCACAAGCAATTAAATCACGGGCCTCTAAATATTTTAGTCGTGTATACCACAAGTAGCAATAACGCTGCAGAATAGTCAGGATCCCACTTCGTCTTTGCACGTTTATCATAACCATTATCAGAGAACACAAGTTAATCTTCCCCTCCCCGACCCATACCACATTAAAGCAACCCAAGAAAAATCCAGAATTCTTCTAACATACAGAAAACTCCAGCGGCTAACAGACCAAGTATCACAAGCATTTACATAGTAGAAAAAATGCACAATTCAACCATTTGAAAAGTTTCTGAATAATCAAGTTTTAAAAGATCGATAAGCTTTTGTACTGACCAGGATATATAGCCCAGAGGCAACAATAATGGTCCAGTAACGACCGAGAAGCGAGTCGGCCACAAAAGCACCCAAAAGCGGCAAAAGCGACGCCGTTCCAGACCACGCATTCACATTCTCCGCTGCAGTTGCGGTGGATTGACCCAATGGACCCGTCAAATAGCTTATCAAATTCGAACTTATTCCATAGTATGCAAATCTCTCTGCCACTTCAACACCTAATAAATTGAACAAAATAAATAAACAAGCTATTTTTCCATCAAAACACACATTTTGATAAACGGGTTAGCGGCAACAGCAAGAGTCGTCGTTTGAATGTTGCAGGTGCGTACCTATGATGAAGGAAGCGGACTTCCAACCACCGGATCCGGGACGCGTGACAGGGCGGCCTTTGAAGTCGACGGATCCATTGACGACGTCGTCTAAAAGAGGAGTTTCGGCATCCAAAAGCGGGGTTCCGGTGGCTGAAGATATCGGCATGTCTCTGGAGGTCAACAACCCTGAACCCCACTCCCCTTGACAAATTTGATCTATAGGAAAAAGATTACGTTTGCAATAATGCTCGGTTGAATTTTTTTCAAATTTAATTAAATAATATTTATATTCTTTATTTAATTTTAATAGTTTTTTTTGTTTGAATTTTTTACCTATATAATTAAATAAAGAATTCGAAATTGATAATTACTAAAATAAAATATTTCTTTTCAATGAATTAGTAAATTCTTTTTTTTCTTTTAGTTTTTTAATTAAATATTCATTATAAAGAGTTCTTTAAAATTTTCAAATTTAATTAAATAATATTTATATTCTTAATTTAATTTTAATAATTTCCTTTTATTTGAATTTTTACATATATAATTAAATAAAGAATTTGAAATTGATAATTACTAAAATAAAATATTATTTTTTAACGAATTAGCAATTTTTTAAAATTTTCAATTTAAAATTCTTTAATTAAATATTCATTATAAACCGTTCTTTAATTTTTTTAAAATTTAATTAAATAATATTTATATTCTTATTTAATTTTAATAATTTCATTTTGTTTGAATTTTTTATATATATAACTAAATAAAGAATTTGAAATCTATGCGCAACTTCTTTCAAATCTTTCATTGTTTCGAAACATTGCTCGACATGCAAATTCTCATCATCGGGAACCACGACGAATAATTAGATGACGGACCACTTTGTTCCAGCCCCTGTGCTCCCACCCCAATTATGTTTTCGATTAGATAAAACAATCAAATCCTCATTTGTAGCAGTCAGATCACGATAAAGAACAACTAGCTCGGGAATAACCACATCATCCTCACAAACTATTTTCATTGTGTCACAAAAATCATTGGCATTATGATCCCCTCCAATCGAATTTTCGTGTCCACCATAGTCAACATCATTCATCACTAAAGTCACACAAATAAGAGTAGTGTACATTTTGTTCAATTCAAGTAGATAATTCACTTTTTCATCACAAGTAAATTTTATATGTAGAATCGGAATAAATGAATCATCTTTGAATTGAAATCTCATATCTATATCGTACTGAGAAAGGTTGACATTTAGTTTGTTTTGTAAATCATGGTACATTCTCGCATATGTTGTACTCTCCGTTATGGAAACTAGAGTACTATCACGTCTATCGTTTGTCCATCTCCATACTCATTGATATTTCTCATCAAATTCGAAGTAACCAAAGTAACAAACTGACATTACAACCATATTTGCAAGAAGAAACAATTTTTTTTAAAGAAAATATATAGTCGAAGATTTGGCTTTTAATAGGAATTAAAAAAAAGGCGAAACAGTTGAACATAATTTTTTTAAGAAAGTACATAGCCGAAAATTCGACTTTTAACAATATTTTTTTGAAAAAAATGGTGAAATAGCCATAACAGTCGGCTGAATAGCCGAAACAGCCGATGCCATATCCATTTTGTCCTAAAATACAGATGAATTGTTTTCTCATTCATGTTTAAAAAATTTATAGATATGTTAAAAAAATTTATCTACATTAACTATCTATGTTGAGATAAATTTAACGATTAAAACATATACTGATTTAATGAAAACGAAATTAAATATACGTAAATATACTTACTGATTTGGGAAGTGATTGATATAAAAAAATTCAGGCTTCAATGTTTGATAAATTTTTCAGATTTTAAGGTTGAAGCAGATGAAAATGAGATAGTTTTTATATGTATTGAAATAAACAGATAATAAAAGTAAGTTGATTTTGAAATTTTACGTATGGAGTGTTTGGTATTTATTTGTTAACTAAAGGGTGGTATTGTCTTTTAAACAAAATAATATTTTGTAATTGTTTTATATACTTAAGGGCGTATTAAATAGGTCAGTGTGAAAATATGAATAAGTTGAAAAGTCAAAATAAAAATTTTGATTGGGTCAATTTTAAGTACCCAGAGGGGATGGGCCTTTTTTTTTTTTTAAATTGGCGCTACATATTCTCTATCTATTTTTTAAATCTGTCATTGAGTCTGATACTGTAGCAAAACTCGGGTGTTTGGAGGAGCTTCAAGGCCAGAAGATACACTTTTTTTTATCAGTTGAATAGGCGTGTTTGGTTGGCTATTCTCGCACTCTTTTCAGTTTTCAATTTTAAGTTGTAAAATAATCGAAATTTGTACAATTTAATATTTTTAAAAAATGGGTCCAATATTTTCGAAAATACATTTTAAAAATAGGGTTAAATTTATAACAAATTTCAAAATGCAAGGACTATTTGACTGTGGTCGCCATGGCAATATATTGAAAAGCATAGACTAAATCGAGCAAGTACCCTATGCTATAGAATTCGGGGAATTTTTCAGATATTGCTTGTTTCCTAATTTGAATCAAATTCTACTATGAAAACATATATGGACTCATTTTTTTAGATAGAATTTCAACTCGTATATTAATTGACATTGTTTTATAGTTAGGGACACAATTTTAGAGAGAAAAACACATAAAAACATCAAGATCAAAAAGTAAAAAGTTAGGATTTGCAATATTTTAAGATTGAAAAATATGCTAGTTGTAAGAGCATGTCTGGTAGGGATTAAAATCCAATTAAAATTGAAAATATAGTCGTTATTGTGTCTTACTCTTGTAATAAAAGTCAACAATAACGGTTAATTTTTCAATTTTAATATCAACCGAACACGCAATTAATTATTTACTCCATCAAAATATCAAAATCCGACGATGAACTCTATTCCTTCGTCAAATAGAAATTAAAGTTGAATAGTAGTATTTGTGAAAGAATTATACGGACTCATAAGTCCATATATTATTGTATACTTACGATACAAAACATGCAACATCGAATCTATCTCGTGCTGCTCAAGTCTAAACTCGATCAGATTCAATTAAATGGTCAAGCTTATATTTTATAAACACTTACGTCAAGTCGATAATTAAAATAATAAAAAAGCAAATTAGTTTAAAGCAACAAAAAAAAAAAAACAACTGTTTTTGCGTTACACCTAACATGTTAGGTGAGCCTAACGTATGACCTGGTGTTTTGAAAATGATTCACATGTTTAATTCAAAGGAGCCAAAAGTATGATCTTTTCTTAAAATAATTTTGTAAAGTTTAAAATTGTTTATAAGTTGATTAAATTCTATTGTTTCTTCATATATTTCATACGATATACATTTTTTTTTTATAGGCTCAAGTCCTTTGTTTGCTTAAGGTAATATGTTAACATTATTTTGTAATGCCGATTACTAGAAACCATATCATATAACATGCCTTCACATTTATAGTCCACTCGACCGGATTAATAAGACAAATGTCGGATTTTGATTGGTGTTGTAAAGCTTCAATCGTGTCTTTGGTAAACTAGTCCATTAACTTCAACTAGATCAAACCGTAGGTCGATTTGTCAATTTTTCAATTAGACGCCTACACAATTTTTATAAATCAAAGTGTCAAGTTTAAATTCAAATATTTTAATATTATATTAATCATCACATTTTAAATGATTTCATATATTTATTTCAAGGGGGTTGTCGGTTGTTGACAAGTTTTTAAAAAATTTTAATTGATTTTAATAAAAGTTGATAAAATGAGCAGTTAAAAATTTGATAAAAATTGTGAATTCATTAAGTCCATGTTTGACTATCATTATTTCGAGAAAATTGAGTTTTGAACAGTGATTTTTTGAAGAATGTATGGTTGAAAGGTAGGAAAAATTTGTGAGTTTACGTACAAAATATTTTATTGTTTAAATATGTAGTTTTAAATGAGTATGAGAATTAAGAAGATTTAAAATAATGGTTGTCAAATATGAATATATGATTAAAATTGAAATTTGATCCCGTGTAAAATTTTAAGCACAAATTTTATCCCACTTCAGTTCCGTTCCGTTCCGTTTCCGCTCCGTCCATTCTGGTCCTGCTCACACTCCCAAGCCCCTCCCCATTTAGCAATAACCCAACACGGAAATGTGAATCAGAAGCAAAAACAAAGACCTGTATTCCAACCGCACAATTTCGATATCTATTTCATTCGTCGCAATGCTCTTCACATCTTCGATTAATCGTGGCAGGAGATATTTATTTTTAATTCTCTTCAGCCCTTTTCTCCTCCCTTTGCTCTGTGCCGTGGGCCCTATTATTTGCTGTTTGGAAATATGTTTCCGCATACGCCGCCTCCGGCGTCGGCGTCGGCGGAAGACGGCGGAAGTTTACCGTGGAGATAGAGGAACTAAAGTGGGATTGTTGCATTCCATAAACCTTCTAGTCGACGACGTCGTGGTTGGACCTGTATATAATTGTGGAGACGAGGGTGAAAATGAAAAAGAAGTAGAGGAAGATGGGGTTGATTTTGAATATTTCGAAAATAATGGTCCTCTTTTTCAATATGAAATGTCATAGTTTTTTTTTTCTTTGTATGTGTCATTGTGTGTGTATACAAATTGATATGTGTCATTGTGTGTGTCACAGTGTGTATACAAATTGAAGTCAACTGTAAGGACGGTGAAATGTTTGACTTTCCTGTTATATTGACTTGAACATTTTTAACTTTGGAGAATAATGAATTAATTTTCATTCTTCCATTTTCTTTAAAAATTATATTTTGCAGCTTATGCACCACCTAAGATTGGATTCATGCACAAGTCGTGATGAAAATACAGTTATAAAATGAATTATAATTTAATGAAAAATAATGGAAGCCAAATGGGACTTATAAAAAGCAACCACTTTATAAGTGCTCGTTTGGTCCCATTATTTCACATCATAATAGAGGAATAATAATTTTTTGGACGACGTGTTGTTAAAAAATGAGAATTTTTTTTTTGATTTACTTATAATATTATTTTAATGTAAAATGTGTGGTTGATAAGAATAATAATGGAAGCCAAACGGGGCTTAAATAAAGCAACCACTTTTTAAGTGCTCGTTTGGCCATAGTATTTCACATCATAATAGAGGAATAATAATTTTTTTACATTTAATATTATTTTATTGTAAAATGTATGGTTGATAAGAAGAAAGAGAAATGAATTATAGAACCCGTTTGAGCCCCACTTTTTGTATATTATTTATTTTGAAATAGTAGATTGATGGAGAATGTGTAGATAAAAATGAATAATTTTTTTTTT